AAAAATGCTCTTGGATCCAGAAGTCACTGTCACGATGCCCATGTTATTTCAAGATAGAAACAGTATTTTCAGGCTGATTTCCGAGTAAGTGCAGGAGGAAGCGGAAGGCCGCGCTGATGCGGGCCGGGACGAAGAGGTAGGCGGCGTACGCGAGCGTCACGAGCGTGGCCACGTTCACCGTGTAGAAGAGCACCTTCTCCCAGGGCTCCATGAGGTAGCTGCACGTGATCAGCTCGTACTGGTAGTACAGCCAGTACAGATAGCTCGTCATGCGCTTGATACCCACCTTCATCTCGGAGCAGCTCCGGAGGCCGCCCAGGGGCAACAAAGGAGGGTTACTGGAATGATAAGCCTTATTGAAAACAAGAGAAAGCTTATTTAAAATATGTGTATATATATATAGCATTGACATGACAAAAGATCGTGACTTGCACAACTCATTATGATAACTTTTTAACTAAAGAAGCTGAAATAGTTACATGGCGTTCACTCAATTTGTATATAGTGACTATTTTCAGTAAATGATGCTTTAAAAACACAGAAGAGCTAAAATCCTAGGACCGCAAATATACTTTTAAAGCAAGAATGAGTCATTTTGCCCCTCCCATAAAAGACTTCATCTGTACTCCTTTTCCTACTATCAGTTCTGAATAAGACCATCAAATTTAGATCTCCATATCCAGGGTGATTTACGAACAAAACTGTAATACCTGTAATTCCACTTTTTCCAGAAATTCGTGACCCAGTAATCGTTGCCACTCCCTTCCCCAGCCCATTCTACTTCTTAACTTTGGCATGTGCTGGGTTATTTAAAAGTTGTTGAAGTGTCTTAATTCAAAGAGTGCATGTCCTCTCCTTCACCATTCATATAAACTTCAAGGGACAATTTGGCCAGAGGTCCAATTTTGATGACTTCAGACTGAATTTTGTGCCTTATGCATCAGTTGTTGCTAGAACACAGACTGAAGGGGCTGAGAGTACAACATATACAGAAAGACAATAAAGTGAAACTATATATTGATTATACAGCTCCTTCTGCAACAGAAATGAATGTGATTTGTTAAAAGACTAAGAAATTTGCATCTTCTATAAAGCTTTGTATTCAAATGATGCTAGAAATTATAATATTATGTTACCTAGCTACCAGAAGAATAAAGAACCAGAGAAGTAAAACAGGAGTATTTCAGTTACTGCTGCCTCCTGTCCTTTGGTAAGCAGGAGATGCATTTTATGAAGTAGATGGAAATGGTGATCTCTCCTGTACTGTTGTAATTACAAAGTTAGAGCTCCTGGTAGTGTCAAGATCTGTGAAGAAATCTTAGGCTATGGAGATAAAAAAA